GAGCGGCAGAACCAGACCCAGACCCGGGTTTTCCTTAGTCTTCCTTCTGCTGCTGATACGCTTTGCAGAAGGCTTTCTTGTTGCCCGTCACGTCCGTTGCTAGGTTCAGTTGCAGCTGAGCTTTGACTTCCCTAATTTCATGCTTGCATGCTCGGGCACCATTGTGCTGTTCCTGCTGGGTAGACCATCCCTGCTTACACCCCCGTGCACTCCCTCTTTGCATCTGAGGCCAGGCAGGAATTCCCTGCTTAACCCTGCTGGCCTCCTGCCAGGCCTCCTCAACTTTCTGCACATCGGTCTGATCATTCCCCTTTGCTTTGAAGAGGTTGTCCTTGAAGTTCAGCCAGCTTCCCTGAGCCCCTTTGTCCTCCAGGGATCCCCACTGTCCCATAAGATCCTTCTGGGCAGATCCCTGAACAAGCCAAAACCTGCTCTCCTGAAGTCCAGGTCTTGCTCGCTTCTCTCAGGATTGCAAACTCTGCCATCTCATGGTTGCTGCAGCCAGGGCTGCCCTCAACCTTCACATCCCCAACCAGCTCTTCGTTCTTTGTGAGTAACAGGTCCAACAGAGCACCTCCCCTTGTTGGCTTGTTGATCACCTGTGGCAAGAAATGGTCATTAATCCGATCCAGGAGTTTCCTGTAGTGCTTGTGCCCAGTGCTCCTGCCCTCAAAGCGGGTGTCAGGCTGGTTAAAGTTCCCCCATGAGTATGAGGGCCTGCAACCACGGTGCTTCCTCCAGATGTCTAAGAACTTGTCTCCTTCTTGACTAGGTTTTTTGTAGTACATGGCCATCGCAGTATCATCTGTTCCAGTGCAATTCTTAGCATTTGGATGAAGCCTTCCCTAGTGTGCAGCCTGTTGTCATTGCCTTCCAAGCTGTTGTACTGTGCCAGTCATAGCAGCTATCCCATTATATTTTTCATATCCCAGAGATTGTAGTGTTGCAGCTGTTCACTGGTTTCTGATTCTGTTTCACAAGCCTTGCACATTTGTTTACAGGCATGTGTGGTGGGGCCCCCACAGTGTGCTGCTTTTACAAGGAAACTGAGAGCCTCTCCTATCATGCTGTTCCCTGCACATTGTCCTCCCAGTCCCCACTCTTATAATTTTTCCATTCTTTTGTCACCATCAATAAAAAAAAAAAATCTGTGGAAATCAAGGATAAAAGTGCATAACTTAATAATAATCTGTTCTTATTAATTTTTTTTTAATTTGAAACATTTGTATTTTCACTATAGGAAAAAGATAACCCCAGCCTCTAGAAAGACACTATCTTACTAATGTTAATAATAATCTGTTCTAGTTATCCATATAATTCTAAGATAAATTTTAACATACATGCTTCAAAACCTCAGATGGTGAGATGCTTCTGCTAAGTGCTTTTTGTAGTTTCTTGAAATAGATAAAGGCCAGAATGGAGAACTGAGGTCTTGCAATACTCTTTACACATTTGTAGTTAGAACTTTTGTAGAAGAAGAGAGGACAATTGCACGGAGCTATGAACTTTTCAGTTAGGGCAAAGTATGCAAGAAGGAGGAATTAGGCAGGCTGCGCTGATCCTTATCACATAAACACCAAAGAACTGGGGTTCAATTACCTATGAAGAAAACTGAAAAATGAAGTAGGTACTACTGGCTGGAGTGTAAGAGTACCTTTATCTTTTTGAGCTAAAATGTACCAGAAACAAAGAAAATTCTTCTTTGTGACATGATACTGCTGGGGCTCCCCTTTAATTTTCCTCTCACTCTTGAGGGAAAATTGGGAAAGAGTATGAAATTGGAACGTTATCGTGCCTCCAAAAGATTATTCCAATAGTATGGTAAGAAAGCAAAAGACTGTAAGAGCAGCCAAAACTGGCCTGAGTGGACCTTTGATCTAGCCCAGTATCCCGTCTTCACTGTGACCGTAACACATACCTAGAGAAGATTACAAACACAGGCAAGTACAGTTCTTCTCCTAAATACTCTCCCAACCTGCAGCCATTTGCAGTTCAAGGAATTATATACAGCATTATCTTTGTTGGCTGATTTTAAAGTGTTTATGCTTTCTTAACATCTTATAATGTTTAACATCCAGTTTGGTTATAGGAATGGAATAGGAAATACCCTTTCACTTCCATGTGGTAAGAGATGTAAAAGCATGGAATAGAAATATTTATTGAAGATCACTGCTGTTTGTACAAACTTATTAGAAATTTCATTAGAACCTGAGTCCAGTACCCTGTGAACCAGCTGGAAAGGTTGTATTACAGCTGTAGTATATGCTTTAACTTGAGGGCTGTGTAGGCCAGCTCCCTGCTTCATCATGTGCCTAGGAGTTCATGAACTGACTCTGCTGAAACTTGGAGTTAAAAGACTGAAACTATGTTCTGGGTTCAATTTTTAATTGACTGCAGTACAGCACGGTTAATTTCCTCTGTGGGGAAGGAACAGAAGAATTTTTTTCTTCTGTGTGGGACACTGAGGTATTTTGTTGAGTCCAAAGATTTGTATTCACTGTGTGGAGGAAGTATTGCCTAGCTGTCTTTATTCTGCAAGCTATCTGGCAACTCGATGTTTCCAGGGCAATGCTTGCTCTTCATGCTTTGCTCTTGAAAATGTTCATGTTCTTTCATTATTCTGCTGATACTAAGACTTTGTGAAAGAATACAAGCAGTTAAAAATATAGTGGTTCAGCTAAAGCTGAGCAGAGTTTTTGGCTCCATGGTTTCTGCTTCTCCAAAGTGTCAGTCCTGCTGTAAATAGAACAGGTGTTCTAGCATCTCAAAACAAATAGACAAATAAATAAGGTTGAAAGAGACATTTATTTGATAGTCTTAATCAGTCTAAATGCAGAAGGGAGGAATTGTTCCTTTTCAGGCTGAAAAAGAAAAATATTAAGAAAGAGATGACAAAAAACTGTAAAATGTATAAGCAGTATGGAGAAGGTGCATAGGGAATGCCTGCCCACTGCTGCTCCAGAAATGCAAGAAGATGGCACGAAATGAAGTTAACAGATGGCAGGTTCGAATGAGCAAAAGGAGGTACTTCTTCACACACTGTCTACTGAGGTTCTGGAATGCTGTTTTTCAGGCTGTTCTAGGTTCTAAAGGGCAACAACTTTCAAATGCTGTCAGAGACAGTACTAGGATAGACGACTGTTGGGATGACCTCGTGCAATAATTCTTGCGTCCTTGCAGAACACAGTGAACAGGTGTATGCCTGGTGTCTCTCCCGTAGGTGTTTGTGTCTTACACCAAATTAAAAATGTAGACTTCTGATTCTAAAGCAAAACAGGAATGCTAATTAGCTTTTAATTCCTGTAGAACAGAAGTGTTCTAACAGTTAAATATTCTAGTTATATAGGTGAAAGCTAGAGTGAATATCGTAGAAATAGACAAGGCAGTCCAGTAGATTTATTATAATTACTTACAGTTCCTTTCTTTTATGGTTTGCCTGCATGAGTTATTCCCAATTAAGAACTGACTTTTTCATGTAAGGGTATACTTGCCCATTTTTAAGCTCAGATCATTAGGTCTTCCTCCTAACCTACTTCATATCACCTCCTCTGCTGACTTCTCTGGAAAACGGAAAATAAAAAGAGGGATTGTTAATAGAACTAATGTAGTTTAGCTAATGTATTAAAGTACCAGTAAAAGTTAGCAAGATTGTAAGTTGACACCTCATAGCTGGTCATGTTGAAACTTTGACGTGAAGGTCAGTTGCACCTCAGCCAAGAAGATGCGTTGACAGAAGCTGACTTCCTAAATGGCAGTTTTTACTTACCACGAGTAACACTTGTTTTTAAAAAAATCAACATGAACACACCTCCTTTATTGTCAGTCTAGAGAAACCCAGAACTTTTTTAGTTTAAACAGGACAAATTTACTGTACTTTACATTGCTGAGAGGAGCGGCTCCCAGGCTGCTTGTAGCTAAGCCTCACTTGAAAAGAAGCAGCCATGATTCAGGCCTTTTGAATCCAGCTGGGGTCTTCCAGAGTTCATTAGCTTTAGTTCTGTGCTCCAGCTTTTCAGTCGTATGCTTGTACCATGCCACTGAGACCTGCCCTGCTAATTGGGAACTATTGTCTTAGGGATAACTCCTTCTGAGCACATCAGTCTAAGGGCTGGGAAGGTGTCAGTATTACTGCTCTGGAACATGGTAGATTCTTGCTTCCAGTGCTTGGATATTCCTTGCTTCCTTCTCAGATCCGGGAGCTGGTTCCTGAGTCCCAGGCCTACATGGATCTGTTGGCCTTTGAACGCAAACTAGACCAGACCATTATGCGGAAGCGTGTGGATATTCAGGAAGCGCTGAAGAGGCCAATGAAGGTATGTCATGAAAATCTGTAGATTGAGTTAGGGGGAAAAAATAATCCTTGTATTAAATGGTGGAATGATCTTTCCAGTAGAAGTCCTGTTAACAGAGATATTTTGAAACAGATCAGAGAAAGCTCCTAAGAATAAGCAGCTGGGAAGCAGCATGCATAAAAAAGTGGTGGAGAAAATTCTGTGGATATTACCACAGAATGGTTCTGAAAGCCTTTAATAAGGGGAATAATAGCTTCTGGATAAATAAACACTGATTTTGGAACTTTGTGTTAGAATGATTAAAAAGAAGAAAATAAGAGAATAGAGGCATGTCTGAAGAGAGGTGTTACATTTCCTGTTAGAATTCAGTCAAAAGCTAAAGTTGTGGAATAACAGAATATATAATGGGAAGAATTACTTACAGAAAAATTGTTGAAGATCCTGCAAAAGTGTACACATTTACATAGTCTGTAAAAGGATGATTCATGTAAGAAAAGAATGGATGACATTTTCTGCAATTTCTATTAGATCAAGTCCAGCACTTCACTGTTCATAATATCCTTCTGAAATGGTCTTTTCCTAAGTTTTCTGAGTCTATTCAACTGAATCATGGAAAAGTTTACGTAGGAGGAAACTGTGAAAGTCATCTAGTTCAACCTCCTGCTCAAAACCAGGTTGTCAAGGCCTTGTTGAGTTTTAAAAATCTCTAAGGATGGAGGTTTCACAGCCTCTTTGGGCAATCTGTTCTAATGTTTGGCCACTCTCATTGTGAAGAATTTCTTTTCATGTCTTATTTAAGTTCTTGTGACTGTATTGAATGCTCATATTATTCATGTAATAAATCCTGTAGTATGAAGAGTTTTGTAGCTGTATGTCTACTGTGAAGTAAAGCTGTCATTCTTGTCTGTACCACAGTAATGGGTATCAGCTCAACTAAGATCAAGATTCCATTCTATTTGTCACTGTACAGGTATCTGATAAGATGTGGAAGGCTTTTACCTCTGATGTTTTTCCAGTTGATATGTATGAAACAGAAAAAAAATGGAAAAAATTAAGTTCCATTAACATACCTATTTTATAGATAGGAAACTGAAGTGTGGATGGTTTAAATCACAAGTTTGTAGTCAAAAAGTGTTGTATATAGTAGATTGGACTTTCAAAAGGAATAATTTGTCTTAGCTTCTTAATGTGGGTAGAACACCATTATTTTAAACCAGCTAGGAACTTGGCCATGTTTAAAAGTAATTGAAGACTTAGACTCTCATTCATAAATCTGCAGGAAGATATTTATTCTGTGGTAATCCCTTTAACTAGGGAACTGACCAGTACATGAGGTGCCAGCTCTAAGCTGTACGATGGAGATATTCAGGGCCTGTAATGGGGAAGACTATAGGAGGCACAACAGTCTAGAGCAACTGTAGACAGAAAATTCTGTTTCCATTTAGGGCTCAGCAAACACATTTTAAGTATCAGTTACTCAGCTAGTTAACATCTAAAGAATGATCAAACAGATGTTTTTCAAATTCATGTCTAGACTTAGCACGTAGCATCTGTGAAATTCAAGACCTGTCAAAATAAAGCTAAGCCTATTGGGTTATTCTGATGTCAAGTATTTTCATTATACTATAGTTGGAGCATTGGTAACAGCAATAAAAATTATCTCTGCATTTCCATCTCTTATCAAAGCTCTTGTAATTTTGAAATATTTGCCTTAAAACAGTGGTTCCCAAACTGGGATTGTAATCCTGAGAAAAATTTAAATTTGTCTGAGGTATGTGATAGTATGTAGGGAATATGCAGGACTCCTCAGAATTTCCAGTTGTAATTGCAGTTATCTCACTGGTCACAGCAATTGAGTTGTAGCTAGAAGCAGTCTTTGGGAACCACAAGTTTATGGTCTAGTGTTGCTCAGGCTGTTTTTTTCTGTCTGAAGACTATTATTTTGGAGAAATTTTAGGGGGAGATGTTTCAAACGCCTTTGAGGACAGTGCATAAAATATGCTGGGCCTATTGATCCTACTTGGATCTTCTGTGAACAGTTGCACTGTTGAAACAGATGACAGCTGCGGGATTGCTCAGAAAGCAAGGAGGCCTTGGGGTCGTGAGGTTGGTTGAAGGGAGGGAAACGGCCTTCACCACCTGCCAACTCACTTTACCACTGTCAGCAGCTGCTCTCAGCTGCCAACTTTTCCAGTCTAGATCCTGCCTTCTATTTTTTCTGCCTATTGCGTACTAGTGTGTTCTCTCCTCTTCTGTCAGTCCTATGTTCTTGGACTACATCTATGACAAGAGTCTCAGAATTCCTTGCCCGCAGAGCAGCATTTGCTGCATGCCACTCATTGCAGGAGTCCTTGCACTGACTTTATGGAAGACCCACCCACTCACACGCTCAGAATTCCAGGAAGGACTTTTTAGTGGGGAGTCAGGCAGACAGGGTTGTTTGACTGCAGTGTGTGACTAGAGGTACAGAAATAGCAAGTTCCATGGCCTGAAGGAAACAGAAACTGTATGGCTCAACTTCAGATGAGTAGATGTCATTAAAGAAGAATGCATTACTGAAAATCTGGACAGCTCGGGCCATGGTGGACTTTGGGAGTGGGATTTATTTGGCTAAGTATAGACATCTATGTTGTATTTATTTATATGTAAGTTCGTTACTCTGGACTCCCTTTATAGTTGAGCAATTTAGTTAGTGTAGGCAATGGAGTTCAGGGCACAGTTCTTCTCATACAGAAGTAGATATTTAAAAGAATATAGATAAATCATGCCCTAAAAAGTGCCTATTTCTTTTGATTAACTAAGCCTGAGATAACTAGTCAGTTGTGGACATAAACGTAATTTTAAGACTGAGATGATTTTCATCCCAAGACTTGAATCAGGGGTCACCTGGCTGAAAGAAGGGCATCTAGTGACCCATCCCACAAGCAAGGCTCCTACTCCAAGCCCTGGCACCACAAACAATAGTTTGGTCTCACCCAAACCGGAAACTGTTATCCAGGGACTGTCACTCTTTCACAGTGAACTAGTGTGGGACATGGAGTTTACCAGACCTGTGTGTGGTTGTGGTTCCTCAAACTAAATGATCTACTCCCAGGTTCCCCACTTTCAGGTTTTAAGATGGCTGAGGAATTGCTACCAGATTGTCAGCAGAAGGGATTTTGCATTTTTTCTGAAATGCTAAGGTTTCTGCCTGGTCCTCTGCCCTCTCAGGCAAGACTGTTTTTGGGTTTTTTTGCTTAGTATGCCTTGTGTCCGCAGCACCTCATACAGGAGCTCTGCAGTTCTGTTGTTCTAAGAGACTCTCATCTTTTCCGTGTAATGAGTTCTAAACCTCAAGCATCTGAGGGATATTCTTCGGGGCAGAAGAATAAATAATTTGTGGAGATTTTTGTGTCATACTCTGAACCCTACTGTCATTGAGCTCTTAGAATCAAACCTGCACTCACTTCAGTCAACAAATGCAGTAGGTATCATTTATCCCAACTTGAGCAAAGCATTTTATTCATTCTTCAGGGGATATTATGGAGAAAGAGGTGGGGATTACTAAAGAAAATTCAAGGTAATTGAGAGCAGTGGCAGCTCTATCACTTTTTAGCTGTTGTAGATTCCCCTCTGCACTCTGAGGTCTGCGGCACATGGGCAGTGTACTTCCTTTTCTGTGGTTGTCATGTTGGTCTTGGTGCTGACTGGGATTAATTGGAGGAATTTCTGCTATAAAATAGTTGCCAACTGATTTGAAACATCATTAAAGGTGAGGTTTATTATTTTGATAATAACAATCTTAATATGATGTGACTGAGAGAAAAAAAAATTATGAAAGGTCAGTTAACTAGAATTCCCTGTAACAACAGAAAAGGTCTAGTGTTGCTGCAGAAGACCCTAGTGGCATCTCATCTGATTGTTAAAGCTGGAATACAGTGTCATCAATACACCAAATGAACAGTTCAAACTAGAACAATTATGCGAAAAAAGAGCTTCTGCAATCTAGGGAAAGGAAGATTCACCTTGTGCATGTCACTCAGCTTTTATATGTGAACACAAAAAAATTTGGGAGGAACTGGGAGTGGCTGTCTTTTTGGTAGAGGGGAAGAAAAGTATCAACATTTAGGCTGAAGGACAATGCTGGCACAAGAACAAATGGGGAAAAGGTGACTGAGTAAATGTTAGGCCTGAAATTAGAAAGAGGTCGTAATTGTCAGAGAAGCAAAATTGCTCCAAATCAAGGAGCAGAAACAGAGATTTCGTTTTTGAAATTGTATCTTCATGGGTTCTGAAAAGCATTACATGATACAGACCTGTGACCTGGGCTTACTGTTGCTGACAGCTCAGTGACCCTAGGGCCCATTGGTGTAATCCATCAAGCACTACAGTGGTTTTGATAAGATACTGTAAAGCTCTTCAGGGGAAATGTCTGCACAAGTCATTTAAAGTAGAAATATGTTGAAGGCAGAACAGAATTTATGGTAATTTCAATTTAAACAAAACAATTTATTGAGGGAATTTTATTAGGAATTTTCTCATCTTTAATCATCAACCGTAACATTTACAAAATAAAAAAAAGCCAAATAGCTTACAGTTTCACTAGTGTGAGGAGGTCAGTCCAGCAACAGGTATATTGTCTGATTAGTATGCGGTTATACATTGGGAGAGTTGGGTCATGGCTTGTGGTTGTCTTACTGTCATAGCCTTAACATGTATGTTGATCTGCAGTCACCCAATCTTTGAGGGTCACCTCAGAGTCAGTGGGCTTTAGGTGAGTCCACCTCCTTTTGGATACCCCTGAACTTGGGCCTAGGAGTTCCCAGGTTGTCTTCTATAGACTGATCTGGGGGTTCTTACACATGTTATTATTGAGAGGACTGAGTTGCCAATGGGACCACACCAAGAAGTGTTACTGCATTACTGGTTGGCTTGTTGTCTGGATAGTTACTCACGGTCAAGAGACTGTGCCTGCAGCCTTACCATGCTACACTGTTTTTAACTAGTTAGGACCGAATCATGCCACTGGGCAAAAAGTTAAT